CCCCAAATATAATCCACTCTGCAACCGTCATTGCGTACTCCTACGATAAACATAATGCCCTAAAATATCCATACAAATTTTTAAATGGTCTGTCTTCCAATCTCACTGTGCTGGCCATGACTGAACTATCTAACCCAGTTCAAAGGTCTGAATCAAATAAAATTTTAAAAAATATTTTCAACGTTTTCAATTTGCTTGTTAGTGTCAAAGGAATTTAAAAATTCTATCCTTTAATTATTCCATTTCTGCAATTTTTCCTGAAGAACTAATCCAACAGAATATTTCTAAGGAGGCATTTAATTTTTACAATGTCATAGTAGTTTAGTAGGGGAATACTTATGTATGAATTTTGCAGTAGCTTTTAATGGTAATCGTGAAGCTAAGGGAACAAATGAATTGCTAAGTGGAAATGAGTGGGGCAAAATGAGAAAAAAAAATCTAGAACAGTATTTTAAAAGAATGCAAAATTACGAGCCAAGGCTAAGAACGGGTCCCTAAAGTACACTTGTACAAAATTTAAAGCAAAATTTAAAATTGGTGAGCAACAAGAATCTTAGTAATAATTATAATATTTTAATAACATCTATTATTAAGTGAAACTTAATGTAAAAATCCATGATGAGAAAAATTCAAAACAGGAAAGTAGGATCTGACTTGCAGACTCAAAAAACCTAATTTGCCTCACCCTAATCCTGGTTCAAGGAAACTGTCCTTATATAAAATTTTCGTGTTTCGTACTTAAAAAAAAAAATTAATAATGCATTTTCATATTGTCTTGATTACTCAATTTCTTTGGGTCCCATTAAATTAAAAAAAAATTAATAATGCATTTTCATATTGTCTTGATTACTCAATTTCTTTGGGTCCCATTAAATTTTTTACTGAAGAGAGTGCCTTCGTCCCAGTCCTGTGCAAAATCGTGGGAATTACATATTAAAACCACAGACGTTTTTATTTCTCGGGCCTAGAAATTTCGAGTTTGTGCGCCTTAATCAACCAAAAGAGCAGTTCCTGATATCTCAATGCAGTGTCCAGACTTTCTAAGGATGAGAAAGAAGTGTCAAAGACTTTGGGGGGTTCTGAAATCACCCTCGGGGCTCACCATGAAGCGTAAGTTAGACCCTGGGGGTGAGACTTGGCTCCGGAGCTCATTGTGGAGGTTCACGTACTCATTGATAAAATCTGTATCCTCTTCAAGTGGCAGAAATCTCGCGTCCAAAAGAGAACCCAGCAGTACAAACAAGATATCACAGAAGGACAAATTCAAAACCCCCATGGCGCCAGGGGCGGTGGCTCATAGCGCCACCCTGCGGCCACTCCATGGTCCACCAGCCGCTGACGGACCAGTGCGCACGCGCCGACACGCCAGCGTCAACACGCGACCCGCCCATCCACCTGCAGGGGATCCTAGGTCAACGCCCCTTCCTCTCCGTAAATAGATGGGCGGAAACCTCAAACTGCGGACTAATGTGAGGTTGCTGGAGGTTCCTGTACTCATGTGAAGGGTACCGGAAGTGTTATCTAGTTTTGGTTTTCTGACGCCAAATAGTGCCCTGATTCTTTCATAACCTATCAGTAGACGCTAATTGCTGAGATACTAACTTGTTTTGGGAAGCCACCGCTGTGTAAGTGAAATGATTTTTTTTTTTTCATTTTCCACGAGTTGATTTACAAAATTCGAATACATTACTTCATTTTCCCTCACGCCCCACCGTCAAATTGTACAACCCCGTGATTAACTTCCTCCTCCTCCTACACATTCTCATTCCTCTGTTTCCACGCTATCCTACCCTTCTTGGATCCTTTTGTTCATTCTACAATAATGGTTTTATACAATATTTATCCTTGTGGGACTGAGTAAGTTCACTCAGCTCCAGGCCCTCCCAAGTTAGGTAATGTTGTTGTTGTTGTTATGTGCCATCGAGTCGCCTGCGACTCACAGCAACCCTATAACAGCCCTAAACTCCGCTCTATCCTGTGCCAATCTCACCATCTCTGACACTCCCATCCCAATTATCCCAGTCACTGAATCAATCCACCTCATAGAGGGCCTTCCTCTCCTGCGCTGTCCCTCCA